CGCTTCCAGGGATCCCCGACAGCGCCGCCCCCATCAACAGCTGGAGGGGGGGGGGGGAGCGCTTTTGGAGCAGCACCCATTGGCTCGGCTGGGCTCCTCCAGCTGTTGATGGGGGCGGCGCTGTCGGGGATCCCTGGAAGCGAAGGGGGGGAGGAGACGCCCGGGAAGGAGGGGCTGGGAGGGACCCAGGGATGCTGTGGGGGTGGAGGGGGAAGGAAGGGGCTGGGACCCCCAGGAGAGACTTTGGGAAGGAGATCGAGGGCAAGAGAGGCTTCAAGGCCCGAATCACTTCGCCCCCCCCCCAAAGTTTCTTCCATTCAAAGAGGAAGGAGGCGGAAACCGAAAGAGAGAAACTGAGGCATTTTCAGCCCGGAATCCACAAATGCCACCAAAATACAGTATATAAGAAAAAGAATTTTGGCAGCTTCAGAAACTTAACTTTTTCTTCTGAATCTCAAATTTGAGGCTTTGAAAGTCAAGCAAGAGGGGACCTTATATCCATTCTGGGGGATGGGGAAGGGGACCAAGGACCTCCCCCACCCAATCCCCCTTTCACGGACCCTTCCCCTCCCCCAAGTTAGCTAAAAAGAGCCCGGAGGCCCCTTTCCGAGAGGGAACAGGCTGGGGGGGGGAATTTGGGAACCTAAGCGGACATCTAGTCCATCTCTCCATGCATACGGATGAAAGTGTCGCTGAGAATCGTGAAGAGGCCGAAGAAAGTGGAGGGGCCTGCCATGAACCCCCCCTTGAGTTGCAGCCCCCCCAAGACTGAAGGGATCCCCCCTCCCACTTTCAGCTTCCTTCTCTGTCCCTGAACACCCTCCTCCCACTTCAGGTGAAGTCATAAAGGATCTGCCTGGTGACCGATGACGCTTCAAGCTGGGAGAATTCCCATTGGTATTTAGCTCGTTCTGGCCCCTCCCAGCTCAAAAGTCAAAGAAAAACCCTTCCTCCCCCTCGACACACATTCCTCCTCTGACTCAGGCTCCAAACAAACAAGTGTTCATTTCATGGGTAGATCCTACTGTAGGAAGAGCCGCTGTACTGGATGACAATGTGGGGAGAGGTAATGAGAAGAAGTCGGGGGTCACCCACAGACACCCCCCAAAACGCTTTGGGGGGGGGGTGGTTTCCTTGAAACACCCGTCTCCCTTGCTCAACCCCCCTTTCCTTCTGCGGGTCAGGAGGACCCCCTTTTCCTCCCAAAACGGCCCCCGATGAAAATCCCAGAGTAAAGTTTGGGCCGTTTATCCTCCGCTTCCCGCTCCTTTCCGCTGAGAACTCCAACAGGGGTTGGACTAGATGACCTCCACGGTCCTCCCAACTCTGTTCATCTGTTATCTTATTATCTGGCCACTATTTCAAGCCGTCTAAGAATGTATATACTGTACTTTTTTTCAGATTGCTGGGGACAATAAGCTGACTTTGCAATCTGCTCAGAGAATGTGGTAAAGCATTGTGGAGTGGTATATAAGGATTGCTATTGCTATAAACTTTCTCGCGAGCGTGGATCCTTTAATGAGAACATGACCATTCTGAGCAAAACTCTTTCCACATTCCATACATTTTATTTTATTGGAGTATATGTTTTTATTCATAAACACTTTGAATACAGTGTATTGTCAGGGCATATCATTTACAAAAAAGAAAAAGAAAAAACAAATATCAACATATATACTAGTAATAATAACAATAGTGTAACAAAATAATTTTAACTCATTTCTTGTATTAGCTTATTTATATTTCTGTTAATTATATCAACATGTTTCTAACTGTCAACCCTCTTTGTATTTAATTCCTACATAACAATAATATCTCTTCACCTAATTTCTAATGGGAAATAACATTTCATCTATGAGCAAAGGTCTTTCCAAATCCCATACATTTATATGGCTTCTTTCATGTGGATCATATTTTGGGAAATAAGTTTATATCTATGAGCAAAGAACTTTCCACATTCCGTGCATTTAAATGGCTTCTCTCATGAGTGGATCCTTTCATGGGAAATAAGTCCACTGCTCAGAGCAAAGGTCTTTCCACACTCCACACATTTAAATGGCTTCTCTCCTGTATGGAGCTTTTTGTGGCTTCTAAGGCTACTGCTCTGAGCAAAGGTTTTTCCACACTCCATGCATTCATATGGTTTCTCCCCTGTGTGGATCATCTTATGGGAAGTAAGAGTGCTTCTTCGAGCAAAGGTCTTTCCACACTCCATGCATTTATATGGTTTCTCTCCTGAGTGGATCATCTTATGGGAAATAAGATTACCTCTTTGAGCAAAGGACTTTCCACACTCCATGCATTTAAATGGTTTCTCTCCTGAGTGGATCTTTTCGTGACTTGTAAGGCAACCACCAAATGTAAATGTCTTTCCACACTCCATGCATTTAAACGGCTTCTCTCCTGTGTGGATCTTTATGTGCCTTTTAAGATCACTGTCCTGAACAAAGGACTTTCCACACTCCACGCATTTAAATGGCTTCTCTCCTGTGTGGATCTTCTTGTGCCTTTTAAGACCACTGTCCTGAGCAAAGGTCTTTCCACACTCAATGCATTTATACGGTTTCTCTCCTGTGTGTATCATATTATGGAAAATAAGATGACTACTTTGAGCAAAGGTCTTTCCACATTTCATGCATTTATATAGTTTCTCTCTTGAGTGGATCCTTATATGGAAAGTAATTTCCCTGCTTGTTCTAAAACATTTTCCACATTCCGAACATTTATAAGGCTTCTCTTTTGTGTCAGTCACTTTTTGAGATGTAAGGAAGTTATTCCCAAGAGAAGGAATGAATGTCCCATTGTAATTTTGTCTGTTGTGACTTCTTATAGCACCTTCTCCTCTGTTTTGGGGTAAGTAGTTTTCATTTACTTGTACTTTAGCTTTGATTAGCTTCACACTTTTTCCAATATATTTTTTCCTTATTTTCTCTTCTTGGGCTAGAAAGTCTTGCATTGGAGCATCACTGTAAGGTGAGTTTTCCTGATTCCAATTCTTTGACTGGTTTCTCTTGTGGTTTTCGAATTCCATTCGAATTCCAAACTTCTCCGTTCCATCTTTAGCACTGATCACTTGGAACAGTTCACAGGAATCTTGATTCTCCTGCCCATTATTACCTTCAAAGCAAAAGGGAAATTAAAATGATGTTAGAGAAAAAGATCAAACTGTAAAAAGTCATGTGAATTTCCTTCTGAATTTCTCTGAAATTCCATTAGGTTGTATGTTTGCATGTCTACAGGGGTGTGATATAGACATGATGATTTCTATATTCATGAGTCAAGAAAGCTTTGAAAATATCTAGAAAATATCTTTTTCTTTACAATTATCTCCAAATATGAAAAATCTCACTCAGAATCAGTTTTCAGTTAAGAAATAGAATAGAATAATAGAAGGGACCTTGGAGGTCTTCAACCCCCTGCTTAGACAGGAAACCTACACCACTTCAGACAAATGGTTATCCAACATCTTAAAAATTTTCAGTGGGAGCATTCACAACTTCTGGAGTCAAGTTGTTCTACTGATTAATTGTACTAACTGTCAGGAAATTTCTCCTTAGTTCTAACTTGCTTCTCTCCTTGATGAGTTTACATGATTACTTCCTGATTGGGGACTAGAAAACTCTTACCCAGAGAGACCACGTTCCTATGGTTTTCAAGCATGACTTCCGAATGCAGCGCTTTCTGGTCAGGATCCAGCTGAGACCATTCCTCCTCAGAGAAATACACAGCCACCTCCTCGAAGGACACCAGACCCTCCTGAACACGGAAAAAAAGAACAGAACAGGAGGATTTGAAAGATCTGTTCATCTTCATCATTGATGTAGACAAGAGAAGGGGAACTCATCAAATTTGCAGAGAAGACTAAATTGATAGGAATACCAACACTCCAGAAGATAACAAAAGAAAAACCAAATGCACTGGGATCTTGGAGTCCTAGTGGACAACGACTTTAATGAGAGTCAGCACTATGCTTCAGTTGCCCAGAAAAAGACCCAACAGAAACATAGGCTATAGAATCAAGATAACATGAAGTGTTACTACCACTTTATAATGCCTTGGTAAGACCACACTTGGAATATTGCATCCAATTTTGGTTGCCAGATGTAAAAAAACATCTTGAGACTCTAGAAAGAGTGCAGAGAAGAGCAACAACAATTATTATAAACTGGACGCAAAAACATAAAGAACGGTTGCTAGAATTAGGTAGGTCTAGTTTCATGAAAAGGAGGACTAGGGGAGACATGATAGCAGAGTTCCAAGAAGCAACAGATGGAAACTATTCAAGGAGGGAACCAACCTACAAGTCAAGAGAAATTTCCTGACAGTGGGAACAATTAATCAGTGGAATGACTTCCCTCCAGAAATTGTGGGTGCTCCAACACTGGAGGTGTTGATGAAGAAACTGGACAGCCATTTATGGGAAATGTTATAGGGCTTCCTGTCTGAGCAGGGGGTTGGACTAGAAGACCCCCAAGATCCCTAACAACTCTGTTATTCCATTCCATTGTTCCCAAAGCTAAGATATGCACTGTTAAATGGCTGTGCGTCACACAAGTTCTAAATTTAGGTGAGAAAATGGGCAAATCTGAAAATTGATTTCACTAGAGACATATTTGGGGAAGTTTTGTCAAGTTCATTGATTCTGCAAAACCTTCAGTGCCTTTCAGCAAAGTAATCCAACTTCTGAATCAACTGATCTATCGCTCTGTCTATCATTGATTGACATAGTAGTCTGAGCCATTGACTGAAAGGAAGAAAACAAAGAAGAATAAATTCCTTGGGAAAGTCATTTCTCACCCTTTGCAAAGCGGGAATGTTTGATCTCCTAATGGAGGTGTAAATCAGAGGATTGGAAGTTATTTTGTAGCCCAAAGTACCGTGATTACATGCTCAACACGGCCACTCCCTTTGGATTTTAATAGTCTGGTTTATTTTTTAATACAATTTGCAATTTTTGAACTACAGGTTGTAAATGAGGGTTTTTAAAAGTGGAAATGTGGCAATGTATTTATTTTTCATTAGCCTTGCACAATTCAAAGTCAAAGAATTGCCAAAAAAAAGAGGGTCTCTAGCAGTTCCTGCCACTGTGATACGTTTATTCCTATTTCTTGAAGGACTTTTAAGAAATTGCTTCTTGTAAACTCCAAGATACAGGAGTATCTAGCAGAGCAAGATAACCAGAGGAAGCTATGCTGGCCGACAGCAACTTGAACCTGCTATTCTGCTCTCCATGTTGTGGAAGAACACAAAAATAATCCAGGCCAAACAAGGGGGGGGGGGAATAGAGGAGAGAGCACTCACTTGCTGAAGGGAGAATAGAAATCTAATATCATTCCCTTTCTTACTTGATTTGGAAGTTCAACCGCTGTTTCATTTCCCTCATAAAAACCAGAAAGCTTCATTCTTTGTTTCTCTGTAAGGAATAAACAATTTCAAAATGTATAATTAACAAAATAGGAGGAGGTATTCTATAGGAGAGAAGAGAGAGCGAAGGGAAGAGAGATGGGGAATTAGGGGCTATTCCATTACCTCCTGAGGTGTCCTGACTTGGATCTTCCCAAGGGATCCTCCTGAAAAATAGCTCCTGAGGGGAATTTGATGGGTTCTTCTTTCCCTCAGGATCTCTGATCTCCATAGTACAGCACTTCAAATAGGAGGAAGGAAGGAAGAAGCAGAATTAATGTACGTCACAAGACATAAAGTGGATTCTTATATTTGGAACACAACCTCAAAGCCCCCAATATTCATCCATGTGGCTGAGTGAGAAAACGATGGAACAATATCCTACCAGAACTGGAGAATTGCCATGAATTATGAACATGGGGAAGTTTGGGAAGGAGGGGTGAAGCATTCAAACTCTCTCTCTATTTATTCCCTTCCGAGCTCCCTAAAGTCTCCCACCTGCCACTGGAGCTGCTCCTTCTGCTCCTCCGCCTGGCTCAGGAGGAAGCCTTCCGCCAGGGCCACCGCCTGGGAACTGGTCTCTGCTCCACATTCCCGCACCCAGCCCTCCATCTCTGGGGGCAGGAGAGCCAGGAGCCGCTCCAGAACCACCAGGTCCAGAATCCGGGCTTTGCTGTGCTTTCCTGGGCTCAGCCATCGCCTGCACAAGTCATGGAGTCGGCTGCAAAGTCCTCGGGGACCTTCAGCCTCCCGGTATTGGATGGAGGTCCAGGGTGGAACTTCTGAAGGGAGGATGGTTCCCTCCTGCAGGACCTTCTGCCCAGTTCTGGTCCAGCTCTCCCCACATCTCCCAGACTGAAGAACCATGGGGCCTTTTCCACTCCCCTCCTTGGCCAAAGGGGGTGTCTCCATCCTTCCTCTCTCCGGCAGAGCATCTCCATAGGGCTTCAGGGACTCTGCGGGGTCTCCAGGGGCCTCTTCCTTTATGGGACCATTTCTGGGGCTGCAGGATGGATCCTTGCCGGTCCTTCCGCTCTCTTCTTTCCTTCCCTGCTTCCCCTGCAGGGGAAATCCTGGCTTGCAAAGGCAGCCAATGGTGCACAGGTTCTGGATCTGGGAGGGAAAGAAAAACCAACACCCAGGATCAGAAAGGGGGATTCCGCCCCTGGACCTCCTTCCCCAACCTGCCCCCAGCCCCAAGCGGCTCCTCCCAGAGCAGGGCCCAGGGTCCCCTGAGCAGGGCCGGGAAGGAGGGAGCTGAAGAGGCCTCCCCCCCAGCTTCTGTCCCCCTCCTTAGAAAGGAATGGGCCCTCGTGGAGCCCAGTGCGAATCCTGCCTCCTACTCCTCATCTGGCTTCTCTCCTCTCCTGCTGGACCTCCGCCAGTTCCGCCCTCCCCTCACTTGGCATGGAGAGGGCAGCTGTGGCGCATGGGATCCAGAAGAGCCCCACCCTTCACCTGGGGCACGTCTGAATGTCTCCCTGCAAGACTCTCCTGCAGCCTCTCCGCCTCCTGTGGCGCCCCAGGGGTTGAGGAGAGCGAGTGCGGCATGCTAGAGAGGCAAGGCTCAGCGATGTGACTTCCTTCGCCGCCCCCTCTGGGAAGGCAGCCGTGATGTTCGCCCTCCAGTGGCCTAATGGGGGTAGTGCCTGGAGTTCCCTTCCCTTGGCGGAGGGTGCCCCCTGGTGGACTTGGAAGGTAGAAGGGCAGGAAACAGGAGCGTATGGGAGGGGGAAGGGAGAGGGCAGGGTGATGGGCTTGGGAGTAGCGGGAAAGGCTCCTCTCCGTGGCTCCCTGGCAAGGATTTTTGAGGCGGCTCTTTCTCCACCTTCCTCTCCTTTCTCCCCAGGAACCTTCGGTGGAGATGGAGGGAAAAAGCCTGTCGGGGTGGGGGGGGATCTGAACTCTCCTCCCTCAGGAACTGCCGCCCTGAGGGCTGCACAGAGATCGGAGGAGCCCCCCAGAATGGCTCCCCGGGGTAAGGAGGGAGGGATGCCGGGAGGCTCCTGCACAGAGGAGGGGAAGTGGGCGAGGAAGCCGAGGGAGGAGGAGGAGTTTCTGGGCCTTTCACCTCAGAGTGACTAGCAGGACTGCAACTACCAGGACGGTGCTGCCGCTTCTCTGTGCCTGCCGCCCGAGGCAGGAGGAGCCCTTAGGCCGCCCCGGAAAAACGGGGAGTTCGACTGCCTCCCTGAAAGCCCTTCCAGGCTGGATCCCCTCGGAGGTTTCGCCCCGGTCCCCTTTCCCTTCCCAGGGGGACCGACCGTGTCCCTTTCTACGAAACCGGCAGGACGGAGGGAGGGAGGGAGGGTGGAGAGACTTAAATATATTATATTAGATTTCAACATATTTCATTTTCGATCATAACCTGTAAGCCGTCCAGTATCTACTTGTAGGGGAGATATCATAGAACAGAACAACGGAAGGGACCTTGGAGGTCATGTAATCCAACCCCCACCTTGGGCAGGAATCCCTTCAGACCATTTCAGACAAGAAAATGTAATATACATAAAGACAAATATCTTATACCTCCGTCTCTCTCTCTTCCCTTTGGGGGGGATATGGGAAGGGTGAACAATAAGACATCCAGACGGATTCTTCTGGCGTCTCCCAGCCCCTCCCTCCCCTCAACCCCCACCTCCTCTGGTTACCCCCAACTTTTCCCCTCCCCCTAATCGTCAGCCCTTCTTTGATCTGTGCTAGATTCAGACTTCTCTCCCCGCCCCCCCGAAAATCAGTCCCAGAAGACCACCTGAAAAGGAGGGTCTCCACCCCCTTCACAAGAGGGATAGATCTGGGAGGCAAATTGAGGAGAGCAACTCAGAACTCCCCCCACCTATTCATCAGTTCTCCCCTGTGGCTCCCCTCCAAGTCCTGATCAGGCAATGGGGGATTATGGGGAAGGGGAGTTTTGGTCTCCTCCCCAAATTCACCCCCCCCCCCAAAGGGATCGAGGCTCAAATCCTGCCTGACCTTCACAGCCTCAAGGGAAAAAACTAGAAGTTTTTGAAGCTGCAACAAATCCTTTTTCTTATGTTTTTGGTGGCATTTGTGGCTTCAGGTCTGAAAATCACTGTTTTTCACTTTCCGCCTAGTTCCTCTTTGCAGGCAATGGGCTTTGGGGGCTCTGGATCCGGGTCTACATCGGAGCCCAGAAGGTTCCACTCCTACCCAGTCACCGGTGGGGGGGCGATGGGGGTCCGACTGCGTCTCATCTCAGTTCGGCCACCTTCCCGCGACCTCCCCTCCCCTCTAGAGTCACCAGGAAGGGAAGACAGCAATCCCTCTTTGTCCCCCTGGGCGAAGTGAGGCGAGGGAGGGAGCGGAGACCACGTGGAGATCAAGGCTTCTTAGGCTCCCGCCTCTCTTGCTTCTACCTCTTTCCCTATTACGGGGGTCTCAGCCCCTTTCTTCCCCCTTGCCCTCCAGGAGACTTGATGGGCCCTCCCAGCTCCTCTCCTGCACCCTGCCCAGCCCCCTCCTTACCAGGGGTCTCCTTCCCCCCTTCACTTCCGGGGATCCACCCCAGCAGCATCAGGGGGACCCCCGGAAGAGCCCATGGATGCCCCCCATAAGCGCCCCCAAAGAGAGAGGAGGAAGAGGTGGAATCGGGGGTGAGGGTGGGGGGTGGTGGTCTTGGAGGGGGGGCGTTTTCCTCAGATTTCAGAATTGGAAGTTGCCAGAAGGAGCAGAAGGACCAATGGGATTCCTCCCTTCTGCAGCGTCATCGGTCTCCGGGCAGAGTCTCCCCGGACTTCACCCGCAAGAGGAGATAGTTCAGCGCAGAAAGAGAAGCAGAGAAAGTGGGAGGGGGGATCGTTTCAGTCTTGGGGGGCTGCGGCTCAAGTGGGGGGGGTTCATGCCAGCCCTGGAAGGGAGTGTGGGATTCCTTTTGCCCCCCCACACACACATCCAGTGGGAGTGCCCCTCCCCCAACCTTTGGCTCCCTTCCTGGCAAAGGGGCTGCCGGAGGGTCAGTTTCACCCCCAGTGCTGTAGGGTTTTCTGACCCACCGCAAATGGAAGGTCGGTTTTTGGTTCAAGAAAGGCAGTTGTTGATCTGAATGGGAGGGGGAAGAGAGGGGGAAAGAGTGTGGAGGGGCCCTGTCAAGCTACTCTTCCAAAGCTCCAGAAGGCAGCAGGAGAAAGAAGGCAAGGAAACTGACCAAGGAGTTTCACTTCCTGACCGGGAGACCTAGTGACCTGAACGGACATCTAGTCCACCCCTCCATGCCCACAGAGGAAAGTCTAGATGAGAATCCTGAAGAGAGCAAAGAAAGTGGAGGGTCCCTTCTGGGCCTGCCCTGAACCCCCTTGAGCGGCCCCCCAAGACAAGGAATCCCTCTCCCACTTTCAGCTTCGTTCTCTGCCTCCCAACGCTCTCCTCCTTCAAGTGGAGTCACAAAGGACTCTGCCCGGAGACTGATGATGCTGCAGCAGGGATAAATCGTATTGGTGCTTCAGCTCGTTCTGGCCCCTCCCAGCTCAAAAGTCAGAGAAAAAGGCGATTCGCCTCCTTGAAAGACGAGTCAGGCATATCCTGAGGTAAATCTCAAACAGCCCAGAGGAAAAAAAAAAGTGGGGAAAAAGGGAAACGCCCCCTTTCACCCGCAGCAACCAATCAGAGGTGGGAATCCACCCTCCCTCAGCCACAACGGGTTGTTTGGGTTGTTTGGGACCTTTGTGCGCTTTCCTTCTCCAGCCAAAAAATGGGATATTTTCACATTTAAAGTGTTCAAAACAAAAAGACCCAAAATGACTTTGCTTTTGTCCATTAGATTGAATTGTCAGGCTGGAATGGTTTCTTTTTTTAAAATCTTGCACTCTGCTAAAAAGAAATCAGCATCCCCCCCCCACTTTTTTTCTCTCTTGTACCTCAGTCTTTCTTTTCCCCTCTTTCTCCTTCCCTTAATTTCTTATTTCTATTTTTCTTTGTGTTTTATATAATAAATAAATAAATAAGATCTTAAGGCTGTAGTAAAAGAGCAGAGAAGAGCAACAAAGATGGAGGCTAAAAGATTTGCTAATGACACAACAGTGATTGGTCTCATTCGAGACAACCGACGAATCCACATACAGACAGGAGGTTATACAACTTGCCTCTTGGTGTAACGGAACAATCTGGAACTGAACACACTCAAAACTGTAGAAATGGTGGTAGACTTTAGAAGAAACCCTCCCATACTACCACCTCTTACAATACTGGACAGCACAGTATCAACAGTAGAGACCTTCAAATTTCTAGGTTCTATTATATCACATGACCTAAAATGAACACCTAACATCAAAAAAGTCATCAAAAAAGCACAACAAAGAATGTTCTTTCTGCGCCAACTCAGAAAGCTCAAACTGCCCAAGGAGCTGCTGATCCAGTTCTACAGAGGAATGATTGAGTCTATCATCTGCACCTCTATAACTGCCGGGTTTGGTTCTGCAACCCATCAGGATAGACACACACTTCAGATGATAATTAGGACTGCAGAAAAAACAATTGCTACCAACCTGCCTTCAATCGAGGACCTGTATACTGCACGAGTCAAAAAGAGGGCTGTGAAAATATTTACAGACCCTTCACATCCTGGACATAAACTCTTTCAACTCCTTCCCTCAAAACAATGTTACAAATCACTGCACACCAGAACTAGACACAAGAACAGTTTTTTCCCAAAAGCCATCACTCTGCTAAACAAATAATTCCCTCAACACTGTCCAAATATTTATAAAATCTGTACTACTATTACTGTTAATCTTTTCACTCCTGATCACCCATCCCCTCCCACTTGTGATTGTAGGACTGTAACTTTGTCGCTTGTATATTTACGATTTATATTGACTGTTTCCTAGTATGATTTGATTGCTTATTGTACCCTATGACTATCATTAAGTGTCGTACCTTATGATTCTTGACGAATGTATCTTTTCCTTTATGTATACTGAGAGTATTTACACCAAGTCAAATTCTTTGTGTGTCCAATCACACTTGTCCAATAAAGTATTCTATTCTATTCTATTCAAAAAAAACGGTTGCTGGAACTGGGTGTATCTGGTCTGAGGAAAAGAAGGACGAGGGGAGACATGGTGGCATCTTCCAACATCTCAGGGATTTCCACAAAGGTTTCTCTTCTCTCCTCCAGACGCTTCCCCATTGGGCCACTGGAGGGCGAACGTCACGGTTCCCTTCCCAGAGGAGGCGGGAAAGAAAGTGACATTACTGAGCCGTGTCTCTCTAGGACGCCGCACTCGCTCTCCTCAACCCCTGAGGCGCCGCAAGAGGCGGAGAGGATGCGGGACAGTCGGGACGGGGGTGGAATATCCAGACATGTCCCGGGTGAGGGGGGTGGGCTCTTCTCGGGTCCCATGCTCCCCAGCCGCCCTCTCTATGCGAACGGGGGAGAGGGGAGGGTGAGCCTGGCGAAAGCCCAGCAGGAGAGAAGCTGGGCGAGGAGGAGGAGGTAGGATTCGCACCGGGCTCCCCGAGGGCCCGATCCTGTCTCCGGACGGGGAAAGAAGCAAGGCCGGGGCGGCCTCTCCAGCTGCCTCCAGCGCCACCCGCAGGGCCAGCAGCTGCCGAGCCCGGGCGCACCCTTCCTTCCGAACCGCCCGGCCCAACTCCCGCAGGCTCTCCCACAGCCGCTCTTCCAGGAACGCCGCCAGGGCCCCTTCCAGCTTCCGCGCGGCGCGCACCGGCCGCCTCTGGCCCTCGGCCGCCTCCAGCTCCGCCGTCACGCCCAGGAGCGCCTCCCGCAGAGCCGTCACCTTCTCCGCCGAAGTGGTGGGCGCGGCTGCGGCTGCTGGCTCGGCCACCACCGGCGGCTCTTTGTCCTCGCTCGGCGGCACCGCCGCCTCCTCCTCGGCCAGGGCCGACGGCGCCACAGACCCCTCGCCGCCCGCGACAGGCGCGGCCGCTCCAACCGTACCGCCGCCGGGCTTTCTCCGCCGGGCCTGCCAGGGCGCCTCGCACTCGCCGCGTGACTGGAACCAGCGGAGCAGCGCCATCTCCAGCCTCAGGAAGCCCTGGAGCCGCTGCTGCTCCGCCTCAGAGAGCGCCGCGTCCCGGGCCAGCAGGGCGTCCCTGCCTCGGCGGGCCTCGCTCAGCTGCGCCCGGAACTGCTGCAGGTTCGGCGGGCCCAGGTGGACCTCCCAGCGCCAACGCGCTCGCACCGGCTCTGACACCCGCTCCGCCAGCAGAGCCGCCACCTCGGCCAGCCGCTCCGGGGAAACCTCCGCCGCCGTCACCCCCGGAGTCGCCATCGCCGATGATGCCGCGCGGCCCCAAAACCGCTCCGGCCGCACGAGCGCGCACAGCGACCCTACTTGGCGATGGGGCGGGGCGGAACAACCCTGAGCCCCGCCCCTCCGCCAATCCCGTGCGCTGACTTTTGGCTTTTGCCCCCCCCCCCCAACAGCCGCTTTCCGAGACTTCAACTCCCAGAATTCCCCCGTCAGCCTCCCGAGGGCCTCTCGCCCCCCACCTCTCGAATTTTCTGAACGCGGCAGCGCGCGCGAATAAAAGGCCTCCCGTAGTGCTGCTTCTCGGCGCCGCCGTTCCCGTAATGAAGGCTATGCCGGAATCTTCTACACCTCTGGGCGGTCAAAAAAGTCAAAATGGCGGCCCAAACGGTCTGCTGTCATCTGCCCAGCCTGAGAAACCGACTAAAATCTGAAATAAAAGGCCTTTTACCCCGGTGGTTCGTCCCTCATCCCGACTCGGTACGGGCGATTCTCCTCATGGGGCATCCGTCCCTTTCCCGCCCGTTTCTTCCGCGTTTCTGGGCGCCTAGGTCAATTTTCGGGCCAATTTTACCTCAGGAAAGAATTCAGTATTATTCTGCCTCCTCAAATCATCTTTCCCCACTCTATTCTGAGGTAACCTGAGGTAAAAACAAAAAGCAGGTAACTTTATAAAGGTCAGATATGGCATTACAGTACATACACAGCATATGAGGTAACTTTAAAGTTGGTAAAATGTGATATTATTATCAGCTTGAAGCAGGCCAAAGAGGTAGAAGGTGGGGAACAGCCGAGTTAAGCTCCCAGCCAGGAATCAAATTAGCTTTTATCTCGTTATTTGACAAGGATTCCCCCTAATAATAATAATCCTTATCTGATAATTCCTACCCTTTCACCTCACCTCACCCCACCCCACCCCACACCCTCTAACCATAGCCAGGCTGGCACTGGTATATATAAGCGGAAGGTGGGTCCTCGTCGTGCTACACTGATTGGCAGTTCCCCAACCCAATCGCTACCTGAGGATGGCAGCATCTCTGTCAAACTCAGTTTCTGTGATTGACGGATGTGTGTGGATAACGACCAGGAGGGTGTAGATGACTGATTGGGTGGGTGTGGCCAGCTTGACCCCATCTCCAAACTCCTGGCCTATTTCCTTGGGGTGACTCTGGGTGTGGCGCTGAGTCTCCAAGATGAGAAGCTCGACAGAACGCCAACCCTTGCATGGAGACCGTCTTGTCAGGATCCACCTAGTGTGCTGTCTCAAGGAATATCTGCCTAGGTCACATTGCGGGAGAGACACCAGCCTGTTTTGCTTACAAACGGAAGGTGGCGACCTGCTCTGGGGAAGCAAAATATTTTCTCTGCATTTGCACTTCCCCGGGGAGTTTGTGTGACCCTTGCAGAATGAGACGGTTATCGGAAAGGTTGAACCTCCCAGTTTTGCAATTTCCTTTCCCTTCAACTGGAGGCTTCATTGATCTGCTTAGCAACGGAAATTCGAGGTCCACCTGTACTGTGCTGATGGAGGTCACATCTCTGTGCAGGACAGTAGCACAGTACAGGTGGACCTTGACATATGGCCATGATTGGGTGCAGAATTTCCATTGCTAAGCAAGACAGTCATTAAGTGAGTTGTGCCTAATTGCACAACCTCTTGTCAACATGTCTTTCAGAAGATTTTGTGTCTTCCTTTGGCTGTTTCACAATTTTTAAAAAAGTGCATTTTTCACCTTTCTAGCATTGATACCAATTGTAAGTGTTGTACACCACCCTGAGTGATACAGATATGGAGTGCGAAAGAATTTAAACATAGGAAAGTTCTTGATCTCTGCATCATGAATCTTCTTACGTCTCCATCTGGGTTGCCAGCAGAACCATGCTCAGCACTGCTGTCAGCCAAATGTGCCAGGACCATAAGTACAGAATTAAGGCACAACCTGATCAATCAATCAATCAGAATGGAGCTGGAAGGGACATCAGAAGTCTTCTTGCCCAACCCCTGCTCTATCTGGCAAGAGATTTTTAAAAAGGAGAAGTCGTATCGAAGACTAATGGAGCAATAATATCTGGTCACTCAATCTGAGAAATTATGACAGACTGATCTTCATGTGGGAATTCTCGGCAGGGAAGCAGGACCAGGACTCTGTCAGATGCAACCTCAACACTCCAGGACATGAAGGGTCCTCGTTCCTTCTCGTGAGTGGCCAGGTGCCTCTTAGGCTGCTGCTCGTTATGGAACCTCTTTGTCCACTGTGAGGATGGAGGCAATGTTGGTCCTCCATGGAGCTTTTGGTGTCTCACCAGGTTCCTCTTCTGGCTGAAGGTCTTGTCACACTTGGTGCAAGAGAAGGGCTTCTCCGCCGTATGACTCCTGGTGCCGCAGGAGGTGCTGATTCTCGTAAAAGCTCTTCCTGCACTTGGGGAAGCTGTGTGGCTTCTCCCCTGTGTGGATCCTCCAGTGGAATATGAGGTTGGAGCTGTGGTTGAAGCTCTTCCCGCACTTGGGGCAGTGGAAGGGCCTCTTGCTCGTGTGGATTCCCTCATGGGAGGTCAGCTGCGAGCGTCAGATGAAAGTCTTGCCACAGGTTGGGCACTTGTGGGGCTTGTCCTTGGAGTGAATGAACTGGTGGAGGTTGAAGCCCGACTTGTCGCAGAAGCTCTTACTGCAGACCGGCCTTGCTTCGTCTTCCCCACACACCCCGGCCTCGCTTCGATCTTCTCTGTTCTTCGGCACTTCTTCTCCTTGCTTGCCGCTGTAACTGGGCAGGAGGCTGAGCAACACACTGGTATGGTGGACACGAAGCAAGGTGGTGAGCTGCAGAGCTGCCCCCCACACCCTGCACTGGTTTACCTGAGCACCCACCAGCCAGGTACTAAAGCGCAACTGCTGCCACAGTGAGGCAGAGAGAGAAAGAGAGGGAGGGAGGGGGGAGGAAGAGAGAGGGAGGAAGGGACAGAGAGAGAGGGAGAGAGAGAGAGGGAGGGAGGCAGGCTCTCCAAACTCTGGTGTATGTGTGTGTGTGTGTCTGTGTGTATGAGAGAGAGCGCAATTCGTGCTTCAGCCAAGGTAGCCAAGCAGGAGCCACCAGGATTCCCCCTCCCCCACAACCAACCAGCCCCGTGTTCTTCTCGTCCTCATTGTCTCCGCTCAAGCAGCTTCGGGATCCGCAGGACAGGGTTTCATTCGGGACGCTGCGGGATACGGGCGGCCTCCGCGTGCCCCTTTTTTGGCTGCCAGGATGGGGCTGCAGAAAGGCCCCCCCGGAGACAGTTTAGGAACCCAAACGGACATCTAGTCCACCCCTCCATGCCCACAGAGGAAAGTCTAGCTGAGAATCATGAAGAGAGCAAAGAAAATGGAGGGTTCCTGCAGGGCCTGCCCTGACCCCCCTGGAGCTGCAGCTCCCCAAGACTGAAGGAATCCCCTCTCCCACTTTTATTTTTGCTCTCTGCCCCCAACGCCCTCCTTCTCCTTCATGGAGTAACCCCAAGAGAGCCGGTCAGAGGGGAAAGAGGGGACGGAGGGGATTGGGATGGAGAGAAGGGTCTTTCCTGAAGGGAACCCCGGAAAGCCACGGTTTCAGCTCTGACCGCCTCCTCAGAGGATGAAACGCCCCCAAAAGGAGCCTCCGGATCACCAAACACGGCAAAAATGGCCCGAAAATCCTTGGCTCGCCCGGCTCCTTTCCCGGCTGCCCCAGGAGAGTATTTGGGGGGCTGCCCCAGAAGAGAGAGAGGGGGCCAAGCTCCCCTCCGAAGCCCCAGAAGATGAGAAGCAACGAGGGAAACTCTCCAGGGAGAGAAGAAGCGACAGAGAATTGGAGAGAAACTTCCTGACAGGGAGGACAATCAGACAGTGGGACTCCTTGCCACCAGAAGTTGTGGGTGCTCTGTCACTGGAGGTCCTGAAGAAGAGACCAGGCAGCCCCTTGTCTGGAATGCTGGAGGTTCTCCTGCCTGAGCAGGGGGCTGAACTAGAAGACCTCCCAGGACCCTTCCAGCTCTGTAGGCTGTTCTTGGTTCTGCCCGTCAATCAACCTCCTTTCTTAAGCAGCCTCCATTTTCTTCCTTTCTTGGACCTGGACCTGATTTTTCTTCCAACACTTTCATGGGGTAAAATAGAAACCCACAACTGGCAGGTGCAACTGAAGAGATTGAATGTGGGGGAATCGCGCAGCTGCTGCCCAAAAGAAATGAGAGACACAGACACAAACTTGTAGTTTTATATCAATATAAATGTATTTAACATTCCCAGCAGAGAAGACAGTCAAGAACATCCTGAGGTAAATCTCAAGCAGCCCAGAGAAGAAAAAGGTGGGGAAAAAGGAAACGCCCCCTTTCCACCTGCAGCAATCAATCAGAGCGCAGATCCCCTCATGTGGGAACCCACCCTCGCTCGGCCACAATGGGGTGTTTGGGACTTTTGTGCACTTTCCTTCTCCAGCCATTAAAAGGGATAATTTCACATTTAAAGGGTTCAAAAGAAAAAGACCTAAAATGACTTTGCTTTTGTCCATTAGATAAAATTGTCAGGCTGGAATGTTTTTTTTTTAAGATGTCTGACTGCATGGCCAGCATTTATTACATTTATAGGGTTTTTACAAAAAGACAAAGGCAACATAGATACAGCATCTGGATTGGAGAATGGATACCACATGGGTGAAACCTCCCAACCACATTGGCACAACCTCCCAACCAATCCTTAAGACTAGTGGTGATGTTAGTAAATGAGATCACCTTTATGTCTGGAAAGTCCGGGACTTTCAGCTTCACCAAGATAGGGAATGAGATCATGCAAGTAGCCAAGAGGCCTTATATAGGTTTTTAGACATTGCAGCTTGCTGCTAGCATCTAGCACCTTCTATAGGATCTCAATAGCTGCTACAATTTTTCTTTGTGTTTTGTATAATAAATAAATAAATAAGATCTTGAGACTCTAGAAAGAATGCATAGAAGAGGCTAAAAGATATTTAAAAAATGGTTGCTGGAACTGGATGTGTCTGGTCTGAGGAAAAGAAGGACAAGGGAAGACATGGTGGCATCTTTCAATATCTCAGAGATTTCCACAAAGAAGATTTTTCTTTTCTCTTCTCTCTAAATAAATATAGAAGCGGACCTAATGAAAGAGGTGGAGCACTTTATAGAGAAGGAATAACCAAACAGCTCTAGAAATGCCAGAGAAGAAAGATGAAAACCTCCTTCAAGGCATTTTTTATTTTATTTTATTTGGTTTGTCGATTGCTTACAAGATAATAGGTATCAGCAAAAACATAGTTATGAATACATGGATACATATAGGAAAAATAAAATAAACAATAGGACAGGGACGGTAGGCACTTCGGTGTGCTTATGCACACCTCCTACAGACCTCTTAGGAAAGGGGTGAGGTCAATAGTAGAAAGTCTAAGGTTAAAGTTTTTGGGGTTTGGGTAAGAAACCACAGAGTCAGGTAGTTTTGGGTTCATATAAAAGGGGGAAAAGCACAGATGTAGAAGCCTCTGTCTGATAGGGAGCCAAGGAGAGGGGCCTTTCCCGCTACTCCCAAGCACATCATCCCTGCCCTCTCCCTTCCCCCTCCCATGCTCCCTCTTTCCCTCCCTTTCTACCATCCCTTTGCCCCGAATCCACCAGGGGGCGACCTCCGCCATGGGAAAGGAACTCCAGGCCACTGGAGTTCCGCATGGAGCCACTGGAGGGCGAACGTCATGGCTGTCTTGGCAGAAGAGTGACATCACGAAGCCTTGCCTCTCTAGGACGCCGCACTCGCTCTCCTCAACCGCTGGGACGCCGCAGGAGGCGGAGAGGCTGCGGGAGAATCTGGCAGGGGGACATCCAGACGTTCCAAGGTGAGGGGGTGCTCTTCGCGGATCCCATGCTTCCCAGCCTCCCTCTCCATGGGAAGTAGAAGGAGGGGAGGGTGGGCCTGGCAGAGGCCCAGCAGGAGAGGAGAGAAGCCGGCCGAGGAGGAAGAGGCAGGATTCGCACAGGGCTCCCCGAGGGCCTGATCCTGTCTCCGGAGAGAGAAGGGAGGGGGCTCTCCAGCTGACTCCTTCCCGGCCATGCTCGGGAGCCCCTGGGCCCTGCGCTGGGAGGGCCCGCTTGGGGCTCTGGGCAGGTTGTGGGAAGGGGGTCCAGGGGCTGAATCCCCCTTTCTGATCCTGGGCGTCGGTTTTTTTCTCCCTCCCAGATCCGGAACCTAGAAGCCCTCGGCATCCTTTGCAAGCCAGGATTTTCTCTCTGGGAGAAGGAAGGAAGGAAGGGAGCAGAAGGACCAGTAGGGATCCATCCTGTGGACCCAGAAATTGTCCCGTGAAGGAAGAGTCCCCTGGAGACCCTGGAGCCCTTTGGAGCTGCTCTGCCAGAGAGACGAAGGATGGAGACACCCCCTTTGGCCAATGAGGGGAGCGGAAAAGGCCCTGCGGCTCTTCAGCCTGGCGGCTGTGGGGAGAGTTGGACCAGAACCAGGCAGAAGGTCCTGCAGGAGGGAATCATCCTCCCTTCAGAAGTTCCACCCTGGACCTCCATCCAATACTGGGAGACTGAGGGTCCCCGAGGACTTTGCAGCCGACTCTATGACTTGTGCAGGCGATGGCTGAACCCAGGAAAACACAGCAAAGCCCAGATGCTGGACCTGGTGGTTCTGGAGCGGCTCCTGGCTCTCCTGCCCCCAGAGATGGAAGACTGGGTACGGGAGTGTGGAGCAGAGAGCAGCTCCCAGGCGGTGGCCCTGGCGGAAGGCTTCCTCCTGAGCCAAGCAGAGGAGGAGAAGGAGCAACTCCAGTGGCAGGTGGGAGACTTTAGAGAGCTCGGAAGGGAATAAAGAGAGAGAGTGCTTGAATGCTTCACCCCTCCTTCCCAAACTTCTCCCACGTTCATAATATGAGGCAATTCTCCAATTCTGGTAGGACATTATTCCATTGTTTTCTCATTCAGCCACACAGATCGATATTGAGGGCTTTGAGGTTGTGTTACGAATATAAGAATCCACTTTATGTTGTGTGACGTACATTAATTCTGCTTCCTTCCTTCCTTCCTCCTATTTGAAGTGCTGCACTGTGGAGATCAGAGATCCTGAGGGAAAGAAAAACCCATTAAATCCCCCTCAGGAGCTATTTTTCAGGAGGATCCCTTGGGAAAATCCATGTCAAGACACCTCAGGAGGTAATGGAATAGCCTCTAATTCCCCATCTGTCTTCCCTTCCCTCCTCTCCTATAGAATACATCCTCCTATTTTGTTAATTATGCATTTTGAAATTATTTATTCCTTACAGAGAAGCAAAGAATGAAGCTTTCTTGTTCTTATGATGGTGATCAAACAGCGGTTGAACCTCCAAATCAAGTAAGAAAGGGAAAACATATTAGATTTGTATTCTCCCTTCAGGAAGTGAAGTGGGTATGCAGAGCGCTCTCTCCTTCTATTTCCCCCTTGTTTGTCCTGGATTATTTTTGTGTTCTTCTACAACATGGAGAGCAGAATAGCAGGTTCAAGTTGCTGCCGGCTAGCATAGCTTCCTCTGGTTATCTTGCTCTGCTAGATACTCCTCCAACTTTTAGTTTACAAGAAGCAATTTTTAAAAAATTGCTTTGAGAAATATTTTCTTTGAGAAATATGAATTAATGTATCACAATGGCAGGAACTGCTAGAGTCACCCCCCCCCCCTTTTTTTGGTAATTATTTGACTTGGAATTATGCAAGGCTCATGAAAAATAAATACATTGCCACATTACCATTTTTAAAAAGCCTTATTTATAACCTGTAGTTTAAAAATAAGCAAACCATATTAAAAAATAGACTATTAAAATCCAAAGGGAGTGGCTTTGTTGATCATGTAATCATGGTTCTTTGGCCTACAAAATAATTTCCAGTCCTCTGATTTACACCTCAATTAGGAGATCAAACATTCCCGCTTTGCAAAGGCTGAGAAATGACTTTCCCAATGCATTTTTTCTTCTTTGCTTTCTTCCTTTCAGCCAATGGCTCACACTACAAGATCAATCAATGATAGAACGATAGATCAGTTGATCCAGAAGTGGGATTACTTTGCTGAAAGGCACTGAAGTTTTGCAGAATCAATGAACTTGATAAAACTTCCCCAAATATTCAGTGAAAGCAATTTTCAGATTTGCTCACCTAAAATTAGGCCTTGTGTGATCCACAGCCATTTAACATATCTCTGCTTTGGGAATTTGGGAACAATGAAACAGAATAACAGAGTTTGTAGGCATCTTGGAGGTCTTCTAGTCCAACCGCCTGCTCAGACAGGAAGCCCTATACCATTTTCCATAAATGGCTGTCCAATTTCTTCATCAACACCTCCAGTGTTGGAGCAACCACAGTTTCTGGAGGGAAGTCATTGTCCTGATTAATTGTTCCCACTGTCAGGAAATTTCTCTTGACTTGTAGGTTGTTTCTCTCCTTGAATAGTTTCCATCCGTTGCTTCTTGGAACTCTGCTATCATGTCTCCCCAGTCCTCCTTTTCATGAAATTAGACATCGCCAATTCCAGGCACCGTTCTTTATATGTTTTAGCCTCCAGTCCACTAATAATTTTTGTTGTTCTTCTCTACACTCTTTCTAGAGTCTCAAGATCTTTTTTACATCTGGCAACCAAAACTGGATGCAATATTCCAAGTGTGGTCTTACCAAGGCATTATAAAGTATCTTCTTGATTCTATCCCTCTTAATGCAGCCTATGATTCTGTTGGAGGTTTTTTTTGGCACCTGTAGGATAGTGCTGACTCAGGTTTAAGTGGTTGTCCACTAGGACTCCAAGATCCCTGTTGCACTTACTGCAGTTGAGCCAGGTATCACCTTTTCTATGCCTGTGGATTTGGTTTTCCTTTCCTAAATGTAGAACCTTACATTTCTCACTGTTGATTTCCTTTTGTTAGATGGGACCCAATCTGTCGATCCTTCTATATCTCGAGCTTATCTTCTGGAGTGTTGGTATTTCCTGTCAATTTGGTCTTGTCTGCAAATTTGATGAGTTCCCCTTCTATCCTCTTGTCTAAATCAATGATGAAGATGAACAGATCTTGTGAATCCTCTTGTTTTGTTCTTTTTTTCCGTGTTCAGGAGAGTGTTGTGTCCTTCGAGGAGGTGGCTGTTTATTTCTCTGAGGACGAATGGTCTCAGCTGGATCCTGACCAGAAAGCGCTGCATTCGGAAGTCATGCTTGAAAACCATAGGAACGTGGTCTCTCTGGGTAAGAGTTTTCTAGTCCCCAATCAGAGAGTTCAAGAAGAGAGATTATAGTTAGTTTTTTTATTTAAAAAACACTAATTGGATATTGTCTCCTGGGAAGTAGAAGGAAAGGATCCGGCCTTCTCGTGCTTCAAGGAAGGAAAGAGTCAATGTCTTTCTGTGCCATTTCTTATCTGTATTTTTCCATTTCTATTTGAACTTATCTATGGGAGGCTGAAAAGAACGAGGTGTGCTTTTATGTGTTCTTTGGAGGTCGTGTGAGAGGAGTGTGTTGTTATTTGTCCTCTGGAACCTCCCCAAATTGTGTGAGAACAGAACTTTCATGCTCAGCCCATGGAAGAGCATTCTCCCTATCCAATTCAAGAACAAAGGCCTCATGCAGTGTGACTCAGAGCACCCTAGGGCAGTGGCCCCCAACCTTTTTTGTGCCACGGCCCGGTACTGGCATCACAAAATGATCTGCGGCCCGGTACCGGCATCAGCACGCATGACAAGGCAAGGCGAGCCGAGCGACCGGCCAGCCAGCCGTCCCCCGCTTCTCCCGCCACTTTCAACTCCTCTTTTGTACCTGTCGATGGGCTTCGCTTTGGGACGGCTTCGGGACGGTCGCTCGGCTCGCCTTGCCTTGGGTGCTGAAAGAATCCTCGCGCCTTAGTTTCGTTCGAAGCCCCCCACCCTCGATGAAATTAAGGCGCGAGGATTCCTTCAGGACCCAATGCTGCTTTCCAACCGGAAAAGCTCACCCAGAAGCACTTTCTCGTCAAACAAGATGGCGGCAACCAGCAAACCGGCGGCCCGGTAGGAAATGTTCCACGGCCCGGTACCAGTCCGTGGCCCGGTGGTTGGGGACCCCTGTCCTAGGGTACAGGTAATCCCCGATTTACGACTGTTCAATTAGCGAACATTCCAAGTTACGACCAGTCCCCCAAGTATTGAGACCCAGTCCCAAAATTTATGAGTGTTGCAGCACCACGATCATCATTCACACTTACGAATGACAGTAGAGGCGCTACAATATTCGCCCTACCTATTCCCCCACCCCATCTCGCAAGGACTTACTGTATTTTTCAGAATATAAGGTGCACTTTTCCCCTCCAAAAAAGTGGGTGGAAATGTCTGTGTGTCTTATAGAGCGAATACAGGCCTGTTTTGGCCTCCCATACCCTCAGCGTGTTCCGTTATTTCCCTCCTTGGTGTCCAGAAGCACTATGCAGGGCAAAAACAGGCATGGAGAGTGCTTCTGGATGCTGGGGCAGGCATAAATGAGATGCACGGAGTCCAAAAACTTTTATTTTCTTGTTTTATTTCTCTAAAGCTAGGTGCGTCTTATAGTCTGAAAAATACGGTACCTTGAGACGATGTGGCGAGCCATCGGTTCCTTTGCCTACTTCAGTGCATTTGCAGAAAAAAGAGTTAGTGAGAGATACACGGGATCAGTAGTGGGAAATCTAGCGCTATTGATCTCACGTGATCTCGCACTACAATGTTTTAGGCCTCTGTTGATTGCTAACCAAGGCCTGCAGCAGATCCAGGGCAAAAGAGAGGGAAAGCCTCTTTGTTTTCAAAGACCTAGATGTCATGTAGTCCTCAGTTCTTTAAAGAACACAGGCCTAAAATACTGCAGTGCCCCAATAAATCTTAAGTTTTCTCTTAATTCCTCCATGGATGTTTCCGCTGATTATTATGAAATTCAATGGTGAAAAAAATAAGGTTCTACATTTAGGCAAAAAAAAAAAAAAGCACATGTACAGTATATGTGGTACCTTGCTGAATAGTAATAACTGTATGAGGGATCTTGGAGTCCTAGTGGAAAGCCATTTAAATATAAGGTATCCGTGTACAGCAGCTGCCAAAAATTCAACACATTTCTATGTTGCATAAACAGAGGGATAGAATCAAGATCACGTGAAGTGTTAATACCTCTTGATAATGTCTTGGTGAGGCCACACTTGGAATACTGCATCCAGTTTTGATCGCCACAATTGTAAAAAAGATGTTGAGACTCTAGAAAGAGTGCATAGAAGAGCAACAAAGATGATTAGGGGACTAGAGACTAAAATATAATGAACAGTTGCTGGAATTAGCTATGTATAATTTAATGAAAAGAAGGACTAGGGGAGACATGAATAGTACTTTTCCATTATCTCAGGGGCTGTCACAAAGAAGAGGGAATTAAGCTATTCTATTCCTTAACTCAGAACTGATTCTGAGTGAGATTTGCATATATAGAGATAATTGTAAAGCAAGAGACGTTTTCCAGATATTTTCAAAGCTTTCATGACTCATGAATATAGAAATCATCATGTCTATCACACCACTGCATGCAAACATACAACCAATGGAATTTTTGAGAAATACAGAAGGAAATTCACTTGATTTTCTACACTTTGATCTTTTTCTCTAACCTTGTTATCATTTCATTTCCCTTTTGCTTTGAAGGTAATAATGGGCAGGAGAATCAAGATTCCTGTGAACTATTCCAAGTGATCAATGCTAAAGATGGAACGGAGAAGTTTGGAATTCGAATGGAATTCGAAAGCCATGAGAGAAACCAGTCAAAGAATTGGAATCAGGAAAGCTCATCTTCCACTGATGCTCCAATGCAAGACTTTCTTGCCCAAGAAGAGAAAATAAGGAAAAACTATTCTGGAAAAAGTGTGCAGATATTCAAAGGTAAAGTACAAGTAAATGAAAACTATTTAACCGAAAACAACGAAGATGCTATAAGAAGATACAACGGACAAAATTACAATGGGACATTCATTCTTTCACTTGGGAATAACTTCCTTATATCTCAAAAAGTGATTGACACAAAAGAGGAGCCGTATAAATGTTTGCAATCTGGAAAATGTTTTAGAACAAACACGCAACTTACTTTCCATAATAGGATCCAGTTGGGAGAAAAACCATATAAATGCATGGAATGTGGAAAGACCTTTGCTGATAGCAGTAATCTTATTTCCCATGAAAGAATTCACACAGGGGAGAAACCATATAAATGCACAGAGTGTGGAATGACCTTTGCTCAAAGTGGTCATCTTATTTCCCATAAATTCATCCACACAGGGGAGAAGCCATATAAATGCACAGAGTGTGGAAAGACCTTTACTCGAAGAAGTAGTCTTATTTCCCATAAGATGATACACACTGGGGAGAAGCCGTATAAATGCATGGAGTGTGGAAAGACCTTTGCTCTGAGCAGTAGACTTAGAAGCCACAAAAAGATCCACTCAGGAGAGAAACCATATAAATGCATGGAGTGTGGAAAGACCTTTGCTAATAACAGTGACCTAAGAAGACACCAAATGATCCACTCAGGAGAGAAACCATATAAATGCATGGAGTGTGGAAAGACCTTTGCTAATAACAGTGACCTAAAAAGACACCAAATGATCCACTCAGGAGAGAAACCATATAAATGCATGGAATGTGGAAAGACTTTTGCTGATAGCAGTAATCTTATTTCCCATGAAAGAATTCACACAGGAGAAAAACCATTTAAATGCATGGAGTGTGGGAAAACCTTTACTCGAAGAAGTAATCTTATTTCCCATAAGATGATACACACAGGGGAGAAGCCGTATAAATGCATGGAGTGTGGAAAGACGTTTACTTATAGCAGTGGACTTAGAAGCCACAAAACGATCCACTCAGGAGAGAAACCATATAAATGCATGGAGTGTGAAAAGACCTTTGCTTGGCGCAGTGACCTTAGAAGACACAAAACGCTCCACACAGGAGAGAAACCATATAAATGCATGGTGTGTGGAAAGACCTTTGCTCAAAGTGGTCATCTTATTTCCCATAAGTTCATCCACACCTGGGAGAAGCCGTATAAATGCACGGAGTGTGGAAAGACCTTTGCTCAGAGCAGTGGCCTTAGAAGCCACAAAACGCACCACACGAGAGAAACCATTTAAATGCATGGAGTGTGGAAAGACCTTTACTTGAAGAAGTAATCTTATTTCCCATAAGATGATACACACTGGGGAGAAGCCGTATAAATGCATGGAGTGTGGAAAGACCTTTGCTCTGAGCAGTAAACTTAGAAGCCACAAAAAGATCCACTCAGGAGAGAAACCACATATAGGTGAAACTCAAAAAATTAGAATATCATGCAAAAGTTCATTTATTTCAGTAATGTAACTTAAAAGGTGAAACTAATATATGAGATAGACTCATTACATGCAAAGCAAGATAGTTCAAGCCGTGATTTGTCATAATTGAGATGATTATAGGTTACAGCTCATAAAAACCCCAAATCCACAATCTCAGAAAATTAAGAGTATTACATGCAATCAATAAAACAAGCATTGTACATAGAACAATATCGGACCCCTGAAAAGTAGAAGCATGCATATGTACTCAGTATTTGGTTTGGGCCCCTTTTGCAGCAATTACTGCCTCAATGCGGCGTCACATGGAAGCTATCAGCCTGTGGCACTGCTGAGGTGTTATGGAAGACCAGGATGCTTCAATAGTGGCCTTCAGGTCTTCTGCATTGTTCTGTCTCATGTCTTATCTTTCTCTTGGCAATGTCCCATAGATTCTCTATGGGGTTCAGGTCAGGCGAGTTTGCTGGCCAATCAAGTACAGTAATCCCCCGGTCATTGAACCAGGCTTTGGTGCTTTTGGCAGTGTGGACAGGTGCCAAGTACTGCTGGAAAATGAAGTCAGCATCCCCTTAATGCTCCTCTGCGGAAGGAAGCATGAAGTGCTCCAAAATCTCCTGGTAGACGGCTGTGTTGACCCTGGACTTAATGAAGCACAGTGGACCAACACCAGCAGATGACATGGCTCCCCAAATCAATACAGACTGTGGAAACTTCACACTGGACTTCAAGCATCTTGCAGTGTGTGCCTCTCCATTTTTCCTCCAGACTCTGGGACTTTGGTTTCCAAATAAGATGCAAAAGTTGCTCGCATCAGAAAAGAGGACTTTGGACCACTGAGCAACAGACCAGTTCTGTTTTTCTTTAGCCCAGGTAAGACGCTTCTGTTGTTTGTTGTTCAGGAGCGTCTTGACAAGAGGAATACGATATTTGAAGCCCATGTCCAGGATCCATCTGTGTGTGGTGGCTCTTGATGCACTGACTCCAGCCTCAGTCCACTCCATGTGAAAGTCCCCAACACTTTTGAATGGCCTTTTCCTGACAATCCTCTCCAGGCTGCGGTCATCCCTGCAGCTTGTGCAGCTTTTTCTTCCACACTTTTCCCTTCCACATAACTTTCTATTAATGTTCTTTAATTAATGTACAGCACTTTGGGAACACCCAACTTCTTTTGCAATTACCTTTTGAGGCTTTCCCTCCTTATGGAGGGTGTCCATGATGGTTTTCTGCACAACTGTCAGGTCAGCAGTCTTTTCCATGATTGTGATTCCTACTGAACCAGACTGAGAAACCATTTTAAAGGCCCTTTGCAGGTGTTATGGCTTAATTAGCTGAATAGAGTGAGCCTAGAATATTGAACCTTTTCATAATATTCTAATTTTCTGAGATTGTGGATTTGGGGTTTTTGTGAGCTGTAAGCCATAATCATCACAATTAGGACAAATCACGGCTTGAACTATTTTGCTTTGCATGTAATGAGTCTATCTCATTCACCTTTTAACTTGCATTACTGAAATAAATGAACTTTTGCAGGATATTCTAATTTTTCAAGTTTCACCTGTAAACGCATGGAGTGTGGAAAGACCTTTGCTAATAACAGTGACCTAAGAAGATACCAAATGATCCACTCAGGAGAGAAACCATTTAAATGCATGGAGTGTGGAAAAACCTTTACTCGAAGAAGTAATCTTATTTCCCATAAGATGATACACACAGGGGAGAAGCCGTATAAATGCATGGAGTGTGGAAAGACATTTACTCAGAGCAGTACCCTTAAAAGCCACAAAAAGCTCCATACAGGTGAGAAGCCATTTAAATGCACTGAATGTGGAAGGTCCTTTGCTCATAGATATAAACTTATTTCCCATAAGATAATCTACATGAAAGAAGCCATATAAATGTATGGGATTTGGAAAGACCTTTGCTCATAGATGAAATGTTATTTCCCATTAGAAATTAGGTGAAGGAATATTGTGATGTAGGAATTAAATACAAAGGGGATTGAAAATTAGAAACATGTTGATATAATTAACGTAAGTATAAATAAGCTAATACAAGAAATGAGTTACAATTATTTTGTTACACTATATTACTAGTATATATGTTGATATTTGTTTTTTCTTTTGCTTTTTCGTAAATGATATGCCCTGACAATATACTGTATTCAAAATATTTATGAATAAAATACACTGCTCAAAAAAATAAAGTGAACACAAAAATAAGACATCCTAGATCTGAATGAATGAAATATTCTTATTAAATACTTTGTTCATTACATAGTTGAATGTGCTGACAACAAAATCACACAAAAATTATCAATGGAAATCAAATTTTGTAACCCATGGAGGTCTGGATTTGGAGTTACATTCAAAATTAAAGTGGAAAAAAACACTACAGGGTTATCCAACTTTGATGTAATGTCCTTAAAAGAAGTCAAAATGAGGCTCAGTAGAGTGTGTGGCCTCCACGTGCCTGTATGACCTCCCTACAACGCCTGGGCATGCTCCTGAAGAGGTGGTGGACGGTCTCCTGTGGGATTTCCTCCCACTAAAGCATCCCCCAATTCCTGGACAGTCTGTGGTGCAACGTGGCGTTGGTGGATGGAGTGAGACATGATGCCCCAGATGTGCTCAATTGGATTCAGGTCTGGGGAACGGGCGGGCCAGTCCATAGCATCAATGCCTTTGTCTTGCAGGAACTGCTGACACACTCCAGCCACATGAGGTCCACAATTGTCTTGCATTAGGAGGAACCCAGGGCCAACTGCACCAGCATATGGTCTGACAAGGGGTCTGAGGATCTCGGTACCTAATGGCAGTCAGGCTACCTCTGGCGAGCACATGGAGCGTTGTGTGGCCCCCTAAAGAAATGCCACCCCACACCATTACTGACCCACTACCAAACCGGTCATGCTGGAGGGTGTTGCAGGCAGCAGAACGTTCTCCACGGCGTCTCCAGACCCTGTCACGTCTGTCACGTGCTCAGTGTGAACCTGCTTTCATCTGTGAAGAGGACAGGGCGCCAGTGGCAAATTTGCCAATCTTCTCTGGCAAACGCCAAACATCCTGCATGGTGTTGGGCTGTAAGTACAACCCCCACCTGTGGACGTCGGGCCCTCATACCACCCTCATGGAGTCTATTTCTGACCATTTGAGCAGCCACATGCACATTTGTGGCCCGCTGGAGGTCATTTTGCAGGGCTCTGGCAGTGCTCCTCCTGCCCCTCCTTGCACAAAGGTGGAGGTAGCGGTCCTGATGCTGGGTTGTTGCCCTCCTACGGCCTCCTCCACGTCTCCTGATGTACTGGGCTGTCTCCTGGTAGCGCTTCCATGCTCTGGACACTATGCTGACAGACACAGCAAACCTTCTTGCCACAGCTCGCATTGATGTGCCATCCTCGATGAGCTGTGCTAACTGAGCCACTTGTGTGGGTTGTAGACTCCGCCTCATGCTACCACTAGAGTGAAAGTACCGCCAGCATTCAGAAGTGACCAAACCATCAGCCAGAAAGCATAGGAACTCCTCCTTCAGGTGAAGTCACGAAGGACTCTGCCCGGAGACCGGTGTCGCTCACGCAGGGAGAATTCCCATTGGTTCTGGCCCTCCCATATCAAAAGTTCGAGAAAAAGGCTCCCCCTCCCATTTCAGACCCTCTGGGGCTGGAAGCATCTGGCCGGAACACCCTCTCCCCCTCCCCATTCAATTCACAGAGGAAGGTCTCTACCATGGGAAGAGTTTCTGCGCTGGAGGAGAAAGGACCCGGATCTTCCCAGCCCCCCCACCTTTCCCGGGGGAATCCTAATTTATAATTCCTTATATCTCAAATCCTAAATTAGAATCCTAATTTATAATTTATTTATTTCTTCATACATTCAGTACATTTCTATAACAGAAATCTAATTTAATCAGCAAATCCCACTTCACATTTCATTTTTTCTGCCTTGAGAACAAAGTCCACACACTTGGCCAATAAAGAATTCTATTCTATTCTATTCTA